AAGCGATGACTCCCTAAGCCGAGCAACAGCTTTGTTATACTCTTCAGTGGACGTGGCATATGTGATATGCTGCATATGGGAGAGAAACAGATCTTGCTCTGTGGTGGATAGGCCATTTTTTCCAGATCGTACCCATCTTTGCATTGCTTGCAAACGGTGAAAGTCACATATGTACACTTGAATGCCAGAGAACTGCTCTTCCAGTGCACCTATTTCGGCAGTTGAATAGTCAACCATTCCGTATTTGGGACTCCATTCAGGATTCCACTCCTTCAGCACGGACAGGGCTTCGCTGATGGCGGTCTGGTCTTCATTTTGGGTCATAAATTCAGCGACCACTTTGTATCCGACGTTCGTTTGGACGCAAAGGAAAAAAAGTGGAATTGAGTACCTGGTGGTTTTGTATGTTGCATCCATGAAGATGAGTTCTTTGCCATACCTCATCAACAATCGTTGCTGCCAGGGCTCTTGATGTACAAAAAGAAACGATTGTTCCTTGCAACCTTCGATGCTGTTGGTGTCATCTCTTGTACGGTAGCGAAACTTTGACTCAGGCGATTCTGCCTCCCAATCAGCAATTTTCCTTTTAAGGGACTCTTGGTCGTCAGACGAATAGCGAAAAGCCTTGATTGCCTTTGCAATGTAGTTGCGAAGGTCCCTTCTCCGGGGGTAATACTTCCGACTGCTCTTTTGTGGCTTTTTTTGTGTCGGAAAACCACGAAACAAATCTTCTTCAACATACCTTTCTAAGGCACTCTTTACATCCGCCGTTTTCGTAACATTGTTTTTAACCAGTTCATAAATTTTACTGACGATTCTTTTGTCAACTGAATGTCCAACACTTGAGTGATGGCCAACAGGGTGACCTGCATGGGCAGCAGTCAGCGGAATTCTTACAAAGTATCTTCTCTCAGTTCTCATTGTAAAGTCAGGGTTAACATTTATTGCATCTTGTGCCTTCTTCAAGACGTTGGCTCTTGCTTCTTTGTAACCTCTTTTTGACTTATATTGTCTAGCATCTAGATAGAAGTCTAACAACACTTTCACACAGCGAAACTGTAATGTTGCTTTACATCCTAACTTTCTTGATGCCTGGAGTGATACTCTTTGTTTGGTAGAGTAGTCGTGCTCTAATACCGTCTCCGTGTGCTGCAAGTTACGACGCGCATCTTTCTATGACATAAAATGAGGAAATAAAAAAATTCACTAAATATATGTTATCACTTTTAAAATGATTTTCCTTTTCCCGGTTTGGTATTAATTGTTCGTTAATCAAAAGGTTTTGAAGGAAGTTGCATAAAAAATTAAAAAACGTCAAGCTCCAGAAGACATGTCATGTTATTAATATTATTACTGCTGCTTTATCT